AATTAATTATTTATAAACAACTGAAATCTTCTACCTACATTGATTATTTGTGCTGTGTTCAGTGGAGGTGTTTCACATGTTTTGGGCTATCAGGATTTTAAAAGAAAGTTTTGTAAACCAAGTTGTGCTTAAAACTACTTTTTTTTTTTTAAATGGATGGTCTAATATATATTTTTTTGGGGGGAGCATTGATTTGTTTCTTTTATCAGATACATCGAAGTAAGAATAAATGGAAGTTCTACTTAAAAGATGGAGTGATGTCCTTTGAGGGTAAAGACCATGTTTTTGCAAAAGCCATTGGAGATGCAGAGTGGTGAAACCTCACTGAAGTATGTACTTTAAGACTGTGGCATTATTCTCTTGTGAACTTTCTGTGAAGCTGCTTTCTATTTTTTTTTTGCCATTAAACCCCCCCCCCAAAAAAAACCCAACCCAAAACCCCAAAAATGCAACAACAAAGCTGTGATAAAAATATGCAAAATCTGTGTTGTTAATAGATGCAAATTAAAACACTATTGTTAGTATTGTTAGTTACTCAGCTGTCCTTGCTGTTCTTTTCTGATTATTTCATTACTTTTCCACCCAAGAAACATCATTGGAATGAATAGCTTTAAAGACTAAAATGTTGAATCTGTTAGTAATTCAAGAAAGTAATGGAATACTAAGTGACTATGTTTAAGTAAATTTCAGTTCTGTTGGTTTTCTTTCCACTTTTTTAAATAAGGGCTAAAGTGTGACTTGAAATACAAAACTACACAGTTGGTGATACTATTATTTCTTTTCAAAGGCTGCTGAGTTTGAAAAAGAAAAAAAAAAGCAACCTCTGTGCAAATCTGAAACCTGTGGCTGTTTCAGCTGTGTACTTCTCGCTCCCCTTTCCTTCCTTTCCCTTGCTTTTTTGTTGTTGCTTTGTGGGTTTTTGGCTTCAGCTTAAAGGCAGGCACTTCAGATGTAAGTCAGGAAATGTGGGGGGAAGACCCTTGAGCTCTCAATATATGAGAATTATTATTGTTTATTCTGTACCCTCTATGTCTACTGAGATGCAATGAATAATGTGATTTAACATCAAAATGTGATTTATTTTCACTGTCAATGCAAAGTCATTTAAGTTTGCTTCAGTACATATCCACTACATTCTAGGACTACAGACCAGTAAGCTGTGAGTGATACAAATTGTGCATAATAATAAAATGTCATCTCGTATACATTTCCAGCAGAGAGTTGTTTTTGTGTTCTCTAAATATAAACTTTGCTTAGAGAAATGTGTACAAGCCATGCATGTGGCAGTAGCTCACCCTGCCATGAGAACTGCATTCCCAGCAGTCCTCAACATTAGCTTTTTGTTTCTTCCTCTAGAAATAGAGGTAAAAAAGTTTTGCACTCATAGGTCCGGGCCCTAGCTTTCCCCTGGCTAGCTCCTGTTGCAAAGCCTCAGCCAGGCTGGCTCAGAACAGGATAATCCTGCTAGAAGGGCAGTGCTACACGCAAGGGTATGGCACCCCTCCCTCCTGGTTGCTTCCTTTACATCTGCTGAAAGAAGACATCGTGAGACATTTTGGGTATCTCTACTCCCTGGGAGGACGCAGAGGCCTTGAGAAGAGAAGGAAAATAAAGGGGAGAGTTGGAGAGAAGGACTATATAGAAGAAATGGGGGAAAAAACCCAGCCCTTGTTCAAAATGGTACAAACCCTTGTGCTGATGGCATGAGCAATAGAGATGCTTCCTTCAGGAGGCAGGTTTTTAACTACGTCTTGAGTTTCTTGCATGCTCTTTGATGTATCTGCTGCTGTCCAGTATCTAAGACGGGACACTGAACTAGAAGGCCTGACCCAAGTGTGGCATTTCTTTTGTCTTTTGTAGATACTGCTGCTGGGATGTGAAGAATTGTGTATTCAGAGACAGTTAAAATATTACAGTGTATGATTTCTTTTTCCCCATTCAGCTGACTTGTAGCTGCACCGATGCTACACTTCAGACCCATAAATGCACAGGAAATGCAGTTCTTGCCACATGATAGATGCTTTTAGATTTCAGCACACTCTCGCAGGCTCTGAGGTGTTAATACTCCATAAATGTATACGTTATGAATTGTGGGACCATCTTCAGCTTGGGCAGCATAGAAAAGCCTGGAAGCAGAGGTAGTGTGGCACAGGAGTCCATTGGACATGACTGGATATGCACCATTCACTAAGCACAGCGTGGTCTCTAAACGTTGCTTCTGAGAATAGGATGTTTTCGCTAGTCATTATAAAATGAAGTGGCTAAAGCATACCTAATTTTTAGCTAGTTTTAAAGATGGGCAGCTTCTTCCTCTTTGTTGCATCTTTCTGCTTGTGGTGTTAAAGACTCCCTCTACATGAAGGCAAGGAGTTAGAGCTCTGAGCATCCTTCTGACTGCCCATCTTCTCTCTCCCTGTCCCTTTTCAGACCTTTTTCCTCTCTGAATGGGTGCCGAGATGTGTGGGATAAAAGTACTAGAGTAGGAATTCCACCACCATCTCTTCTAAGGTTTACCAATTCATACTTACTACATACCTTCTACCTGTTAGCTTCATCTGCCTGTTTATTCCATTCTTGAAATGCTTCTTGTTCTTCAAGGTTTTGCAAGTTAATTTTTATGACAGCTTGCTGCAACATCTGTGCAGTCCAAGTATGATATTGATTATATAGACTGCACATCTGGGATTGGAAGTATTTTTTTAACCCTGGTCTCTTACTTCCCAAACTTCTTGTAAGTTTTATGGGTTGGGCATTGGTGATATTTTTCATCCTCTTTTGCTTTTTCACAAATCATGTGTACTATCAGCAATTAAAATATCAAAAGACTGTTAGTCATTTTTCCTCCTGAAGCTTTGCTGATAGTATACATAGCTGGCTGTTACTCCTGGTCAAAGCTGACCTGCATCAAAAGGGATGCTGAAGATGGCTTAGCTACGCCTTCAAGCATCCCCTGGGTTTTCATTTAGTTGCGTTTTCTAACCCAGCATCTTCTTCATACGAAGGAACCTTAATGTAGGGTCCATCCAGTGCCTTCCTGACCTATCAAGTACAGAAACTTTAGGGATCAGGGTAGGGTTTTGCTCTCGCTATCTCAACCCTTCCCATATTTGAGAAAATGGCTACTGAATTCATAACGCTGCAGATCTTCTGCCTCCCTCCAAACTACACTGCAGATATTCCTTGGGAGTGCTTGCAGTGGTTTTCCCAGTCCAGAGCTAGGGACTGTCTATTTGGACTCCTGCAGTAGAACGGACTTTCATTTTCTTCTGTTTAAGCATGCAAGAATTGCCCTACATTTTGTTTCTAGTGTTCTTGAATGAACATTGGCAAAGACTTAGAGCTTTGAATAAGACATTTGCAACTAAAAATATATGAAGTCAGGAATTTTTATACTGGAAAAAATGTTTCTTATTAAAAAGTAAGCTGAGTTAGCTAATTGCTGTAGCCTATGACTTGAGCAATAACCAGATCGGAATGTTTTTGATCTGAATAGTTTACCGTATTAATGCTTTTGATTGCTGCTACTTACGTGTTGCTGCAGATGTGATGGGAAGAGGTGCGTAATATCAGTTAGGACCATTGAAGATACTTCAGTAAATGTCTTGTCTAAAACTTTACACCAGAAAGAAGGTAAGTTTACCAAAAATAATGAGAGAGAATAAAAAGTGTAACTTGTATGAGAAGCTTTAGCATGAATCTAAATCTTTATTAAACTGTTGCTTTTACTTACTTGCTCACTTCTGTGTGTAGAAAAATTTGAAGTATATAAATTACTTCTGTTGTTTATGTGTGGGGCTTTTTTTGTCTTTTGTTTTTTTAAAAACCAGCAATTATTTTCTAAACGGTAGATTTCACTCAACTTACAGCAGGTACAAAAAGAAAAACACCCACAGCTCTCATACAATGCTGCTTAGGTAACAGCAAAGAAGTAAGGCAGGTACTATCAGTTGTCACTATTTCTAACTCATTTCTCTTGCATGTAGTTTCCTGATAATGTTATGTGGTAGGTTGTCAGGAAGGGTGTGCTTGCAAGCTCTTGTCCTGTTGAAACATAATGTAAGTAAATCAGTTATTGCCCACTCAAGACATTGTTTTGCCATGTCCTAAATCGTGTGCAGGACACTTCCATGGGCCGTCTGAAGAAATGAGTCTCAAATCCGTTTTGAGATAGGTGACAGAGAAGCCTTAGGCGAGGTAGGTTTTTCTTCACCAGTGTCTTTAGTTTCTATTATAGTTAAATATCCTATAGCAGTCTCGTTTGCTCATCTGCTAAGCTTAGGAGCTGGTGTGTATAAAGAGGTGCATCATATGGAATTTTTACTGATTGCTAAACCGTAGAGTTTTAACAGCCTCCTCTGTTCTCAGTCCTGCTTCGTTCCTCATGCGTGTGCGAACTGCTTGTGAGTACAGCTATGCTTACATACAGAGCTTTTATACTGATTGAAATCATGGCATTGAGCTGAAGGTAAGAGAGGGTCAGAGATATTATTTTTAATTAACACAACTATAAGCTAATGATAAGCCAGTCACTAGTGCAAAAAGAATGGTTAATGTGAAGCAAATTTAATTTGCGGTGCAGTGTTTTGGCAACGAGGTGTGCTTTGGAATGCAGATTTTTACTCCATTGCTGTCACAGACTTGAAAGCAAAGGACTCAGTTGAGAAGGAAAACGTATGAGGTTTAAAGTGATTGCAATGATACCATTTTCTTATATATCAAAGTCTGCACTTTCGGTGGCCATCAAGAACTGCTAGGCCATGACTGTTCCGGAGTAAGCACAGATCTTGCACAGCTGCACTGCTCTGCTGACTGCAAGGGAGGTGCGTATTATACCAGCTGAGCATCTGTCTTCAGATACCGTGAGTATCGTCTACAGAATGTGATCTAAGATGCTAAAACTTCGACTACAAGCCCAAATAAAATGCATTTGCTTTACCTTCTGTGAACTGTAAAGTGCCACGTGTAGGTCTCATGCTACCATATTGGTCTGATGAAATGTAAGCACTCGTGTGTTCCTCCCATCAGAGGCAATGTAACCAACCTGTCAAGAATAAGCCACCTAAGAGGCTTGATCTGCAGTCCGCAGCTTTTGCATCTGTTTTTGCCCACAGGACTGTGAACTTTCCAATAACTAAGCCCCTCATTTTCAGAAGACCGGGCAGTGCAGAACATGGCCTCCTTAGGATGTGCCTGGGGCAGACTCTCGCAGGGATCCTGTCTGGCATTCAATGCAATCTGCAGCTTGTCACTCAGTACAGATTGTTTGGCCCATACGATGCAGGCAAGAGCTTACACATCTGAATCTCCAGCTTCAATA